TTCTCACAGTTTAAGGGCAAAAGTGTAGAATTCCATTATATGAAATTACAGAGTAATTTGAAGAATTGCATGACAGGAATACAATTAGGATGAAAGATGTGGTGCTTGGACTTTTTCAAAAAGGGTCATCAGGCTTTTACCACCAGCATTACGGTTCCAGTAATATCTACACTCTGCTCTGTTGTGTTGGGATCTGTGTTTAGCAGGAGAGACTTCCCACACTGAGGAGTTATGGTTTACAGATACAAGCCAGACAAAAGGGAAGAAAGAGAAAAGGCAAACACAAAGGTTTACCCAGCCACTGGTTGGAGGTTGTCTACTTCCCACATCTCTCACAAGAAGGTGAGTGGAGTGACTGTCCTACAAGTAGGGTGAGCAAGGAGTGGCCAAATTGGGTGTGGAGGATAAGCAGTAACTTTTCCAGCCTGAGTAACTCCCTCAGTTAACCATGCTTCTGCTGGGTGATGACAAGGCAGTTCAGGTGCCAGCAAAGGCTATGCAGAAAGGAAGGACAAGCTGGGACACTATATCAGGGCACTTCATTCCACTGTGTGCTCTGCTAGCCGTGGTTCTTCCATTTGATGTGAGCCACCGCCCTGGGGAGAAGGCTTCCCTGGCTTGGCTGAACCCAGTCCAGCTCAGCAAAGAGCTTCTGTAGTGCTCTTTTGCTAAATGCAGTGTACTTATATGAATTTTAAAACTGTTCACCTCACAGCCATAGGGAATGAGCCTGTCTGCCTACACTCATACCAAGCCCACAAGGTTGTGATGTGACCATGATTCCTCTCTCTGACCCATTAAAACATACCCCCTGGGATCTCTCCAAGGCAGAAGCAGACTGGATGTTTCTAAAATGAGTGTTGGATAAGCAGAGTTAATTCTTTTGGGCTCATTCATGTGCTTGGGTTTGGCCCAGCCTGCCAGGCAAAATCTGTTTAGCATGTTTCAAGGCCTGTTGTATCAAAAGCAGTAGCTGTGGTGAGTAAACCAAGGCAGTGGTTTGACTCCTGAACCATCTAGGGGAAAACCCTCTTGGACTGTATTTCTCATGTCCTTTTTTTCTTTCTGATAAGAAAATGCCATTCCAAGACTAACACCCGCCCACTCTCAAAATCATGCATGCAATCTCCACCTGACCTGCCACCTCCCTCCTGACATTTGAAAGCATCTGTGTTTATCTTCTTTTTTACTGGGTTTCAAACGACAATGCTATGCTCTCATGAAGGATTTTTTTATCAGCTTCAAGGCCAGGAACCTAAAAAGAGTTAACCTGAAGGTCACTTTCTAACAATTTCACTACTCAGTCCAAAAAATCACCTTGGAGATTTCATGTTTAATCAAGACATTTTTACAGCTTTTCTGCTAAAGAGAGAGGTACACTTTGATTGAAGATAAAATCCATCAAATGATGCAATGCATTTCATCTGGCGTCGCAGAGTCTCTGTCCACTTGGGAAAAAGACTCTCTGCATCGTGGAGAGAAAGGCTTCTTTTTTGGAGGGATGGGGGAAGGATGATTGTTGGGCCTGTTCTTCAAGTCCAGTTTTAACATCATTCTCCTGCTGAACCCTACCTGACTGCTCTGAGAAGACAAACAAGGCAAATAGCTCTGATTGAATATACTCTGCCCAGGTCTGGGTGTCAGGTTTGGCCTTTGGTTTCATCAGCTTCTGTAAGTGTAACTTCCATTTAGAAGAGTCTTGCCCTTTGGTATAACACTATCATTTCATAACATGTGGAAATAAATTATATAAATCCACATTTACTTGCCTAAACATCTGGTAGTGTGCTATATAATTCATGCTTTACTGGCAAAAAGCCTGCTCACACTTATCCTGGTCACAGAGATGAGTGGGAAAATTTGGGTCTGACAGCCAACCAGCCATGATTAGGGGGCCCTTGCCTTTGCTTCTGCAATAAGAAGTATTCTACCAAGTTTTGAGACAATCTAATTTCCATCACACACCATGTGATTCCAGCTCCAATATGGGCTAACACACATTTGTCTGAATGGGAATCAGGTATATCCAGAATTCAGGGCCCCTACCAGGATAAGAGGAGAGTTGCAAAATCCCTGCAATACCTGTATTGACACATTTAAACCAGCTGTGTAGCAAGCAGCGAGGAAAGGCTTGTTTCATGCCTCTTACCCACTCACACCTCTTTCATGTTTTGCCCAGTTGGACATCTGGCATGTTTTTTACTACACACCCAATGCTGAGCTTTCATTTCAGGCGACCCATTCTGATTCTATCAGAACTGACTTCTGCCCTTATAAATGCATGAAACTCAAGGCTTGTCTTGAGGCAGAGCCAAACACTAGGAACGTTGCTCAGCAATGGGTCAACCTCAAAGGGTTTGAAGCATCTGCTCTTTTGTGCTCCCAGGGATTCACATGCTGATGCCCACAACTGTTGGTCTCTGAGTGAGGCAGATGGTATTGTCCTGGGTGTCTGACCTAGCTGATTCCATCACTGTAGGATTCCTCTGCAGTTCATCTTACATCTGTTTCCCACTGGAACCATGCAAGAAGAAACTTGCTACTGGCATTATGTTAATGGAAACTGAATGTGTGCACCTGGTACATCCTATTGTACTCAAAAGGCAGCCCAGCTGAGATTGCACAGGGATCTAAAATAACCAAATGCTGGAAGATCTTGAAGAAAGAAGTTGGAGGAGGATCTTATTTGGCCCAGCAGAAGGGGGAACGTTGTTTCAAGGCATAAGGAGAAAGAGGAATTAGTCTGGGACGAGGATACACAAAAATAATGACACAGTTTACCCTCACACATGAGAATGATTCAACAGAAAGAAGGTCTCTCAGTCCCTTGGCCCATGCTTCCCAAAGCAAGGGATTCTTTTAATTGTAGCCAACACTGATAGAATTGGCTGCTTTTCAAGTCATTGGTACTTTAACTCTCCAGCTGTGCCAGTCACAGTGCAGTGTGAACTTCAGGCGTGCTGTCTAGTTCTGTGTGTGACATCACTATACATGGTCAGCAGTATCATATTCCCTACTGGGCATAAAAATATGGTCTTAAATACGAATTCAGCTTTGTTCATCTCACACCCTAGTGTCTCATCTCTTTTAAGAACAAAACGTTGTGAACTTCTAACTTGTGAGTAAGAAAGAAGCCACCAGAGATGTTGGTAGTATAAGTTGGGTCTCAGGCCTGGAAAGAGAAGATCAGAGATCTTCATTCAAGGCAGACACAGGGGCTTCTGAAGAAAGTGTAGGGGTGTGTGGAAGCTGCAAGACAAGCCAGTAGACTGGGTGTGGTGGAGGACAGCTGGGAAAGGGGTGATGCAGTAAAAATGGAAAAAGTTGCTGGGTGGATCAAAGTCTAAACAAGGATTTATGAGAGGCATATAAGAAATCTGTAGGGTAAATACCATGAGCAGTGACACGATTCAACCATATTTTGAAGGTTCTGGAGTAGAGAATTAGACAGATTTCCCAGAAGAAGATTGTCTTCCCTGCACTTTCCTTTACCTCTGCACTTCTCAAGAGCTCTACATTTGTCCCTGCACCAGAACCTCCATCTTCACTTTATTTTGTAGCCTTTTACCTATCAGTGCTTCTAGTTTTCTTGCCTTGCTGCATGCTCCTACCAATGCCAAGATGGCTTAGCACTGATTTCTCAGTTCACCCTAGGCAGGTTCTCTCCCTCTTGTTCATTATTTGTTTGCTCACAATCATCTGGCTGAGGGCCAAATGCCCTGAATTCCAAGAGTTTCTTTTTTTGTGTTTCTTTTCTCTCCTTGGTAGATTAAATGATGCTGTGGGCTCTCCATCCTGGAACATGTCAGTGTTGGAAGTGGAGATGGATTTCTTCATGTGTAAATCTCCATCATATTCGCATGATTCTTCTGTTACTAAACATCAGTGGATAGAATGACAAAGATAAAGCAAATCACCAAAAGCTTAGAAAATCTTGAGTACACTTTAGCCATCTCTGGTAAGCACAAAGTTCCTGCAACTTCAGAATGCAAGGAATTCACTCTGCTAGTGCTTCTGAAATATCTCTTCACACCATCCATTGTCCTCAGCAGGCTTGGAAGGCATAGGCTGTGTAATTGAAGTGAAAGCAATTAACGGAGACATTTTTACTACCCTTATTAAAGGGAGAAGGAGGCTTTGATATAGCACAATATCCACTAGATGATGCAATTAATTTATTTTGGCTGGCCAGTGCTCTTGCCTGGGTCTGTATGTTATTAGAGGGTGGTGCAATGGTTGTTCTTCCCACTGCTTGCAGGCCCCAGGGTCAGGTTCTGCTCCACCAATAATATGACTCATCTCTGCATACAACAATTCCTCAAGTGATACCAAAGTGACCGCAACATCAGTCAGCTTCCAATCATCTGAATCCAGTAATGATGGCTACTTCCCCAGAATCATCTTTAGAGCAGCTCACACACTTGTTCCTAACCACAGAATGAAAGTCAGCAGGGAACATGTTGGTTTTCACAAAATAACATGTGAGAAAGGCCCTAGGGTGGATATCATTTACATTTCTGTCCTCATTAATATGCCACTTCGTTAATGAATTAAGTTGAATGCCCTTGTAGAAAGACATACTTGTCTTAATGCAAAGGATTCCAGTGTGACAGGAGACAGCCCACCCAGCTTTGCCTAGATAATAGAATTAAGCACCTCTGAGTTTAAGGCAGAGAAATGGTCATCTGACAATCCTGATTTCCAGCTGCCTTTTGGGTACCTCAGAGTGCAGCTATCAGCTATAAAAAGAATCAAAGCTAACCTTACATAAACAGATAGAAAAAAATATGATAAAACTCTTCTGCTCCCCATGCTTCCATTCTTTTTTTGCTAGTTTCTCTTAAATAAATGTCTTTTAAGTCAAATACGAAAGAGAGTTAATTACAGAAGGTGGATATATTAAGACAACCACACTTCATCTTGGAACCCTAGAAGAAATAAAGCAACATTCTCTGTCAATTTTCCACAAAGTTACTAAGAAGTAAAGAGACCTCAGCCAACCCCACCCCAGGTAACGTGGTGCTGCTGTGGGGTCATCCCCACTGTGTTTGTCTTGGTTAATGGATGCTAGGGAAGGGAAAACAATGAGATGGAGAATTTGCATCCTCTGGGTTGAAGAAAGCTCTTTGGAGCAAGTAATGCAACTTGATTTTTTAATTAAATCTTTATGGTCTGCATAATTAGAACTACTTTTTATGCAGTAGTTCCAAAAGTTGTTTAGGAAAGCCAGGTTCTTTATAGCAAGAAAATGGATCTTAAAGAGAAGCTCTGTTTTCAGAGGGTCATAAAGAAACTCAGGGCTAAAGAAGCTGGTGTTTATTTCATAATATATCCTGGATGCATATAATTTCTCCTCTCTGTGATGAAGATAATCCATAAGGATCTATGAATACATCTTAATACTTTTCCTCCAGTTTGACACTTGTTATGAACTTTCTCCTGTGTCAGGATATAACTGTATCACTTACAGGAATTAGGAGCACCCCGCCCCCCCCTTTCCCTTTAGGTAAGATCCTGGACCTGATTTGCTCATGAAGGCTGATGTTGTCCCTAGGGAATAAAATCTCAGCCATGATACTGGGAAGAAATCTTGACAGTTCTTAGAAATCATTCCTCTTTTCTGGAGGCTTGGAACGGGATTTCCTGGTTATCAGAACAACAGATCAACTGGGAAGACCACCTTTATGATTTCCTTGGATTCAACATTATTTTACAGTGATGAATTTAGTGTCTGCCTGTCCTACATAGGACAAGCAGTGAGAGCCAGTTAGGCAGATGAATGTGTTCTGACAATAGCATCTGTAGAACAGAGGCATATTTTTGCCAGAAAACATTCAGTACTTTTAAATATTTGATATTTTTAGTTTTTTTTCATTTTCAAGTATTTGTTAATATTTATTCCACATGGGTGAGAGATCCAAAAAAGCCACAAGATTCATGAAGATTCATTCAATTCATATTCTGTGGGCATTTTACGGTCTTGACCATGTTGCATTTAGGAGCAGTTCCACTCTGCTGGGAATTAACATCTATTTATTTCACTGGGGACTGACCTGAAATCCTACCAAAATTACAGCATATTTGACTGAAAAAAAAAAAAAAAGGATGTCCAGGAATGTTCCTTGCTGAATAGGTACACATGAATCCCTTTGCAGTAGCAGGGTATTATATTTTGGACTCTCTGGAATTCAATGCTAAGTTCACTGTGAACACACAAAATGTTTTGTAGTACCCCTGTCATGGTTCAGAACTGATGCCAGAGAAAGGGAAAAAAAAAGATGATCTCCTTCCCAAATTCTTCCTTATAATGAGTATGTGTGAGACTAACTGTGATCTCATGGAAATCTTTATTTTGTGGTCATTAGGCATTATTTACATGTCATCAAACTGGCTATGTTACCTGCTGTGTCCCCTACAACTCACCTCCAGCAAAATCATTGCTGTATCAAAGAAGGAATCTGCTTGAAACTCCTCACACAACCAGTTGTACCTTAACCTCTTGTTTACTGGCGTTGAACTCATAAAAGATCAGCTGCAAATGAAATGAAAGTGCAGACATACAAACAGCATCTTCCAAAACAGGGCCAATGCTCACTTCACACAAATTATGCAGTATTATGCTGCCAGAAAAGGACTAGTTATCTGCTCAGAACACATGGGAATACTGGGTAGTGGGAGTATGAGATTATTCCTACTCCTATTGTTGCCCTGCTACCACACAGGGTATATTATGTGATCTCCATATGTGCAGAAAGATACTACCCACTCATCTCTGCTAAAGGCTCATATTCCATGGGTGGCAATATTCAAAGAGTGAGGAGGGTCAGAACAGTATTTGTCTGAATTACTGCTGTGGATTTTTCCCCAGGTTTTGCCTCAGCAGATTATGATAATCTGTTAGCAGGGTCTGACTTGCATTCTGTGGTGGAAGATGCAATCGTACACTGCTGTCAACCAGTACATGTGGTCATAATTTGACAAATACAATATGAATGAGTTTGATGCAGGTTTATTGTTTAAAGATACACGTAACACATTACTGGCTTTTCACCGTGAGTTTTAGGAGTATATTGTACTAGTGAGACAATGCACACCAGCTGTACTTCTGTGCTTCTCAGCCAGCTGACACTGATACACCCTGGGGAGTCTCGAGGAGGCACAAATGCTTCTATTTCTTCCATCTATCTCCAGGCTCCTAACAAAGGTGCAAAATTAAGGGGAAAGTCTATTGAAACTCCCTCCATAGTCAGCTGAGGAAGGTTCATCCCAGCTAAGACCTTGTGCATACTTAGAGGGACCTTGTCTTTATGGTGTGGCCAGCAGGACTAAGGCAGTGATGCTCTGCCTACACTCGGCACTGATGAGGCCATACCCGAATCTGGTGTCCAGTCTGGGTTCTCTCATTGTGGCAAAAACATCATAGGATTGAAAAGTGTCCAGAGAAGGGCAGTGTGGCTGGTGAAGGATCTGGAGCACAAATCCTGTGAGGAATGGTTGATGGACATAGGGGTGTTTAGCCTGCAGAAGAGGACGCTCAGGGAGGACCTTACCACTCTGTACAACCACATGCCAGGTGGGCATGAGTCTCTTCTCACAAGATGTGATAGGACAGGAGAAAATGGCCTCAAGTTGCACAAGGGGAGGTTTAGATTGGATATGGGAAAAAGATGCTTTATGAAAAGTGTTGTCAAGCGCTGCGACAGATTGGCCAAGGAAGTGATGCAGCCAGCATCCCTGGAGGTATTTAAAAGATGTGTAGATGTGCCACTTGGGGATGTGGTTCAGCGGTGGTCTTAGCAGTGTTGGATTAATGACTGGACTTAATGATCTTAAAGGTCTTTTCAACCTAAACAATTCTGTTCTTATTATTCTACTCATAGGCTACAGAGGCAGGGTTCTGAGTGTTTAAAATTAGATGGGATGAATCTGGGTATTAAAGCACAAGTTCAAAGCAGAGTGGAGAGCTCTTGCACAGGAAGCTTACCTGAATTTTAAGATCTGTAACACAGCAGTCACCCATTTAAGGGTCTTACCCTGCTGAAAGGGCATCTTCTCTGGTGTATAATCCTTACTGGTTTGCACTGTTCTGCTTGATTCCTTGAAGGAATTATATCAGTCCATAGGGAGAAGACCTTACAGAGAGTGGCAGCTATCATTAGGCAATGCTCAGCATGAAAGCACAATGAGTGCTCCAAAGTTCAAGACAATAATTTATGAACTCTGGGAAGAGATTATTACCAAGACTACTTTGCTTTTGATACTTTTGTGCTAAGGCAACAACATGTTGCCTTCTCATTGAAGATCATGAAAACAAGGAAGGTCGATCTGATGAGAAAAAGTAGTGAGTTTCTGACTGATGTCACAAAGAGAAAACTGCATAAACCCTAAGACTAGAACTTTGAAGCCCAGATTGGAGTTCTTGTGTTACTGCAACCTTCATATGTGATAGTGGGCAGCCTCCTTAAAAGTAGGTCCACCTATATTTAGCTGTAGCAGCCATCAAGTAGGACTTACCTCATCCCAGGTTCCACTTAGAAGTAGGTAGGCTCAAGCAGAATAAAAAACTGTACTAACAAATTACCTTAATTTCCTACTGGAAATACCAAGACAAGGTGTGACCTAAAACTCTTCCTCCTGCTCTGAGCATCAAGAAAATACCAGGATTACAAATTTTCCCTTCCTTCCTAGATGTAAGTGGATGTGCCATTTTTAAATAAAAACTCAAAGGGAAACCAGTCTTTGCAGCTATATTGCTATTTTGTTACAATGCTAGGTGAATCAGTGAAAAATCCATATACACCAGAAAAAAAAAAGAAAAGAAAAAACCTCCACTGACCTGAGACAGAAGGTTTTATTTCTGAATTGGCTCAAAATATTTTGAGTCAGATGAGTTCAAGTCAATAATGAATTACTTTCCAGTTACAGTGCAGGGTTACAGTTCATGACGTTTTCTCTGTAGATGGGACACTCTTTGTTATCCTATAATGCAATGCAGATGTTTCTCTCTTTGCAAGGATGATTATCTATATGGGTTTTCAGAGTTTTCACACAATCCAGACATGGAGCCTGCAAGGAGCAAACTTCCAAACTACATGTCCCAGAAGGCTGTAACACAAGGGAAAAGCTCAGAAGTGACCTGAAATAGAGCATTTTGGGGTCATTTTGACACACCACAAGAAAACATTTTGATTTCAGGAATGGTGAAATATTTTGTTTTGCTTGAAAATGTCAGGAAAAATGCTGTGATTTTGCCAGAAAAATAAAAAAGTTTTTTGGGTTTTTTTTTTTATTTTTTTTTCCCCAAAATTTTTCCACCCAGAGAAAAAGTCTTGACATTTCAGCTCTTTGTTCCAATGTGGGATGAAAACAAACATTGAAATGTCAGGATTTGCTGCAGGATGAATTTTGCCAAATTTTTGGTGTAATGCCTTGGCCCCAGAATTTACATCTTACTTTGAAGTATGGGTGGATGCTTAGAGGGTGGAAGGGATTTTGTAAAAGAGTATCATATGTTCATAGGAATCTAGACACCTATGTGTTCCAGTTCCTGTGATCTTTCAGACCATTTAAAGGTTGCAGTTAACAGGTAGTAGATGCAAATAAACTGGAAGATAGCACAAATCAACATAGAAATTCTGGTCTATTTACTTAGTTTTCACTCCTTCTATAAGTGGGGAAACTGCCTTAGGTTTGTATCTGATTTTGGCTTGATTAATGAAAATCAGGAACAATGGGAAGCTCTTCTCTTGAAGTCATTGGGAGTGATGCCTGAGTGAGGAAGGAGGAAGAAAAAAACCCAAGTCAACCTTGGATGGCTTGGCCTAATGCAAGCTTTGGGATAGCTCAGCAAGTATGGCAAACGTGGGCATATGTCCTATTGGCTGTAAGTCATTAAGGAGCATAAATCTGGACTATTGTCACAATTCATTCTGTACAAGTTTCCTTAGAGGGATTTGGTTCTGCTAGCATTGAACAATACATTGGTGGGATGCAGCTACAACAGGATTATTTGTGGATATTGCTTTATGGGGAGCAGGCACATTGAAAGAAGTATTTATACTTTTACTGCCTTCACGGATTTCTTAGAACACCATCCTTTACATGGCCAAACACAAACTGCAGACTAAAAAGTTAAAGAAATACAGAAGAATTGGAAAAGGCTTTCTGCTATCTCTGGATAATCCAATCATTCCAGCAGAACACCAATACCTGCTTTGGAAGGCCACACATGAACACCTAGAGGTGGTAGAACATGTCACAACTCCAAAGGCCAGGCTGTGTTTAGGTGCAGAAAAGCAAAAGGTTGGTGTACAAAAGAGCATTTTTTCAGTCAGCCCAGAACCCTACCTACAAGAGGCCTAAGGTAAATATTAGTTCAGGACTCCAGGAAATGTAGCATGTACAGAGAAACTCTTCCCTGTTTCCTCTGGACATCCAGTCATCAGCAGTGGGAAACTCTGATGAGATTATCACACTTGGAAGCCACCAGTGGACCTGTCCTTCAGGAGTTATCCTCATCCTTTTGGACACAGGGGCTGCTGGACTTTGCACACTTCCTGGCAGCCACTGTCCATCCCAACCCATGCAAAGGTGGGACGCTGTGTATAGTTATTTCTACAATCTTGAACTGGCCAAGAGACACTCACTTGAAGTTCCACGAATTAAGAAATCCCTTTGTACCATCGGATAAATAAAGTTGTTTTACCTTTACATTTTACAGGATTCCTTGTATCAGCAGGTTCATGGCCAGTGCCTTGGAGAGATGTCACATTTTTGCTGAACCAGAAGGGAAAATTCTCACCTGCTTTTCTAAATTTATGATGTTACTGGGTTAACAGGTCTGAAAAGATCTGAACAACCTAATTTAGGAATTTCTACTATGTACAATCAAAAATGGTCAGAGGGATACAGACATTGCAGGCAGTTCAGAAGAATGGAATTCCAGGTAGATTTTTTTTTACAAATTCTTAAACAGTGAACTGCCAGAGAAGATCACTTTGGGTGCCCAGGGAACATGCAGTTATTTGAGTAATTTGTGAAGGGTATATTTCACAGTGCAGTGAAGATGCTAGACAAGGTATGAGTGCTAAAAATCATGTCAAAGCTGCTGGAATTACACCTTTATTATTTATTTCACAATCTCTGAGAAATGGGATGACCTCAGTTAAATGCAGTACCTTTGCACTAGGAAAAAACATTTGTTTTCACAAAAAGATTTTTGTATTCATGTAACGCACAAGATTTTGCAATGAGACAATTTCTATCAAGAAATAGGTGGTTTATCTCAGCTGGGCATGGAAAAAGGCCTTCACCTCCACAGTACTGTGCTTTGTTGCCAAAAGATACCAGCAACTTTGACCAAAAGGTTGTTCTGGCTTCAGGTGTCTTGTAAAGAAAGAAACAAGGAAAGTTTTCTAGCTAAAAGATCATGAGCCCATTTGCACTCAAGGAAAAAGATGAAGGTGAGTGGGACTTCAGAAATAGAGGAACCCATCTTTTCCTCCACCTTGAGTTCATTGGGAAGCTGACCTTTTAAAGATAGCCCTTCAACTACATCAATTTAACAGTTTATGGTCTAGACCACTATTTTATAAAAGCTGTCATGTTTCTCAGGAATGGCCTGACAAGCAAATTCTCTGTCAAGAGACATTCTACAAGCTTTTTATTACTTGGCATGAACGCCACTCTCACTCTGGGACAAAATCATCACCTTTCCAGGCCTCTCAGCCCCTGAAGAGAGAAACTGGCCACAGGGCTTGTTCTGCTCTGAGTCCCACGCATGCCCTGAGCCCGGGGCTGGCTCTCAGGTGCCTCCAGCCTGGCTGCAGACCGCCTCCGCGGGCAGGCAGAGTCCTGTTCTCTCCAGCTGGCAGAGTCAAACCTACCTGCAAGGATGCTCTCCAGCTATGCAAGAGGCCATGGCCAAAGCCTTAGCATGTGGGCAGGAGGCAAGCACAGTCTTGAGGCCACTGCTAGCAGATAGTAAAGACATGTCCAGAATATCAAGTAAGAAACTTAAGGAATGACAGTCTGAAGACATTGACCCAAGGTAGGAGGCCATCTCAGTATGGAAGCGAAAAATAACAAATGTTACGAGCCTGAACAGTCCCTTTCCAGTAGCCTAAGAAAAATTCTCGGTGAAACATGGCTGAGCCACTAGTTTGCATATGAAGAGAATCTGTCTTATATCCAAGATGTCAGTCCTTTGCCTAATAAAAAAAATGTTACATTCCCCTTTCCGTTCTGGAACACAAATTACTTCCAAGGATGCAAAATTGGTTTTAATGATTTTTGTATCTCATACATAAGGCAACAATTAGAAGTCTGGATTAGACTTTACCCTTCTTTTTTCCTAAGAACTGTTGATTCTGACTCTGAAGGAGTTTGCTCTTCTGGACATCTTCTAACACTTGTTGCTTCAGCTTGGCACAATGCTGCCTGACACCCACCATGATATTTTGCATCTCCCAATGAGCCCTGTGTAGCTCCAGTGCCAGACTGCACTGCAAGGTGTGAGCATCATCAGAACAAACCCCCTGCTGCAATGGCTGAGGATCCATGGCATCGAGAGATGGATTCCAAACTGATGCTGATGAAGAGCAGACAACCAATTTTCCACTGAAAAAGTAAACACTGGACAATTCAACGTCAGCAGAACTAACCAGCCCGAGGCAAAAGAAAACAACAAAAGGAAGAAAAAGAAAAAAATCCATGCAGTTCCCACTGTCTTTTTTGGTTTTTTTCCCATCTAGAATAACTGAATGTTCCCAGCTTCCTCACAAGGGGAATGATTTTATGTGCTAATGTTAGAGGAGAGGTTTGGAGGCTGCCTTA